AAGGAAAGACGAGAATGTAAAATCACCGGCATAGATAGGTATATGGGAAAACAACCCACGCTTTTTCTTTTTTTTCCTTTTTTTTTTTTTTTTTTGGTTAGAAGCTTTGGAATTGCAGTTAAGTCTATTTTTGAAATTGGTTTGTTAATTTTTTTATTTAAATTCATTTGTTTGTATTGTTCATCTTCAAAGCTTACAATCTGAAGGTGTCCGTTCCTACACTGGTCAGACCACTGTCCTTGGGGCAGCTGGGGTCTTTGGGACCCTCCACCGGGCTCGCCGGTCCGTCGGACTTTTGGCTGAGATCCGTGTCAGACTCCTCCGAATAGTCGTCTGTTGGCATCGAGGGCTGAACCCCTGAGGTGCTGCATGAACTTGAGGTAACCGTTGAAGATGAGGAGAGAGGAGGAAAAGCGGGCTTGGCGGCCGCAGCCCGGGGGCCCACTGGCGGCCATGACTTCCGGGAGGCGTGGGGGGAAGCGGCGGGGGGCGCGGCGGCCGACGGGGGAGGGGGGCTGTCGTTTGAGTGAGCGGCAGACTGCGAGGTAGATGCGGTGCTAGGGTCGGGGAAGCAGGCAGAGTGAGGTAATAAACTAGGGTGCTCTTTGGCGTTTCTTGCTGCTCTCGTGATTGTTCTGTGTTTGTGCAAGGCCGACTCGAGATGTTGACTCAGAGCTTCCTCCCCACACAGCGCGCTCTCGCACGCCAGGCAGTGGTACGAGCCGCTGCCGCCGCCGCCGGTGCCGCCACCGCCGCTGCCGCCGGTGGGGACGTGAAGCACCATCTCTTGCAGGTTCACCACAGACTGGCCGAAGAAGCAGAGGGACTTCAGGTGGCTCCTGGCCGCCTCCTCGTCACCGAAGCCTGCCTGGCACTTGCGGCAGACCAACTTGTACTGCACCTTTGGAACAATGAAGGGGTCACAGAGGGCGTCCGCACTTTTGCTTTCTGCTTCTGGCTCTTCGGGGGGTTTCGGCAGGAGGGGGGACACCTCACGGGGTGCGATTTTCTGCTCTTCTGCTTTGGGGGATTCTTTGGCAGGGTCTTGGTCTGGGGAAGCAGCCCCCTGGGGGCCTGGGGCAGGGCCTGCTTTGGGCTGCTGCGCTTTCTGCGGCTGCGCCTGGCGCTGCTGCTGCAGCGCCTCCTGCAGGCTCTGCTGGTATTGCTGGTACTGCTGCAGTAGGGAGCCCGGGGTCAGCCCCATCAGGGCCTGCGACAGCGCAGGGCTGTAGGGAAACAGGCCTTCCATGCCGTACATCGGCTGTAGGTAACCGCTCTGCAGGGCGCCAGGGAGCTGGGGGGCGTAATAAGGAGAAAAGCCTGGTACAAAGTAAGGAAGGAACTGGCTCGTGAGCAGCGCTGTGGGGTCCGAAGTCAAGGCTGCCTGCAGGGCCTGCAGCTGCGCAGGATCCACCGCGTACTCCATGGTGGGCAGTGGGGCAGTAATGGTGGGTGCTGCCGCGGCGGGAGCCTCTCCTTTCTCCTTCTTGGGAACGGGCAGGGGCTCCCCTTTGGCTTTGTGTGCCTTCTCCTTGCCTTTCTCACCGTCCTTGTCCTTCCGTGGCTGCTGCTGCAGCGGGAGCTGTGGGGCAGGTGGCGGCTGGGCCGCTGCTGGCGGTGGCGGCTGCTGCACCGGTGGCTGTTGCTGGGGTTGGGAGGGTTGCTGAGGCGCCATCGCCATGGTGGCTTGTGCTGGGGTTGGGGAGCTCAGCGAGGCTGAGGACGGTTTATTTGGTAATCCAGAGGTGGGGAGGCCAGGGGAAGGAACTGTTGTGCTGGGCAGACCCATCAAGTTCGGTTTGGGAGACGTTAAAGCTGAAAGGAATGAAAACAGAAGGAAATCACAGGTCAGTCTGGGGAAGTTAGGCAGCACTTGGTGTTTCACCTGGGTCAGTGACACATGGCTGGATGTGTCAGGGTGTAAAGTTGAAGGTTCCTCTCAAAACCAACGTTTCCAACTGCAGTGGGATTGTTAGTTGCTGTCAAGTTGGGCCCTGACTCCTGGCTACCTCATGCACAATGGGATTAGGCCGCTGTGATCCAAGGTTGGACAGCCTTGTATAAGCAGGATGCAGTCCAAAGTCAGCCCCCGTACTTGCACTTTTCAGCTAAACAACTTTCAGCTTCTTCCTGCCCAACATGCTGCACTGGCTAGTTCATGTTTTCTCGGCCCTGGGATCCCAGATACTGCCTGCTGTGCTCAATGCAGGTAGTGTGGAAGTGCCTGACCAGTTGTTTTCAGCTGGGACCCGTCTGAACCAAGGCTCCAAGGCCACATAAACAAACAAACTGGCTCTACATGTGCTTGCCCCTCCACATCCCTGGTACTGCAGTGGGACAGAAGCCACTGGAAGAGGAAAGAGGAGGAACAGGAAAGCAGAGAGAGAACACGGGAATAACAAACCTCCACCCAGGGAACCCTGGACCACTGCTTTGGCCCAAGTGATTTGCTTCAATAAATCTGCTGAAAACTGTAATTATCTAGGAATAGGATTCTGGAGTCTATTGGAGAAGAAACTCCTCCTCCAGCTCCAGCCTCTGAATGACATCCAGGAAGGTTGGCAGAGGCTTGAATAGCCAGTCAGAGAAAGAGGAGAAAAGCAGAGCCCAAAATGGAACAGTCTCTGAGGTACTGATACCAACAACTCCTACAACACCACACACTGCCCACAGGCATTCACCACTTAGGGGACGACAGTCCCATCACCAATCATACTTAGCCCTAATCTACCACTCCCCTGCAGAATCTGAAAGTCTCCCTGACACACGGCTGTCTCCTTGTTTGTGGCTTCTGTCCCAGGGTGATGGAAGAGCTCACAGCCCACCACAACACCTCTTCATTGACCACAACCAATAAACTATACAGTACACATCTCTCTGCTTTCTGAGGACACTTAAACCCATTGCTGTCACATCAATTCCGACTCACAGTGACTCCATAGGATGGAGTGGAACTGCCCCATAGGGTTTCCAAGACTGTAATCTTTACAGAGCAGACTGCGGAATCTTTCTCTCAGGGAGCAGCTGGTGGGGCTGAACCACTGACCTTTTGGTTAGCAGTCCCACCCTTAACCACCGTTCCACCAGACCTCCTTTTAAGGGCTCCAAAAATGACAAATCATAAATTCCACCGCTCCTCGATTTCCTTTGGACCACCGTCTGCCAGAAAGCTGGGCTATGGTTTCCAAAACGGGACACTGTCCTTGTGAAGAAAGCACACTCTGAAGCCCAGACCTGAGAGAGGGCCCTGTGACCTGGATGAAGACCACTGGCCATTTCTGGCTGTAGTGGTGCAGTGTTCTCTGAACTACTGTGAAGACCACTGGCCATTTCTGGCGGTAGTGGTGCAGTGTTCTCTAAACTGCTGGAATGTATTATAAAAACCCTCAAATGTTAGATGAAGAGAACAAAGTTGCCTCCGGTTGCCAATTCTAGTACAACAGCCACCAACGTTCGGGTGACCAAGGAAGATGATTCCCACAGCATCATGAACTTACTCTTAAAAAAATAGCAGCAAAGGACCTCTGAGATTAAGCTCTCAAGTTTCCTCAACACGAAAAGGGACTAAAACCAGAGGAGAAGATGTGACGTGATTTTACTGAGCAAACAAGTAAAGTCTTAACGGTTAAGCGGCACAAAAGAGGCCAAGACAGAATGGATTACCCACAAGGTAATGGACCTGCTCCAGGTCTCAGGTTCGGGGCCAAAGATCAACAGAACATGGAAGAGAAACATTTGGGATTTCCCCATCCCTACGGCTTTAGGCTTTCTGGAGAAAGATAAGTGTAAGAAGACCTTAAACTGACTTTCTAGCTCCTCAACTGATGGCCTGCATAAGTGATCCCAACTTTAAGAAACACTTCTTGAACCTGTACTTGTACTAAACCCTGCACTAGCCATCTTAGACACAGTAGCTCAATACATCCTCACAAGAGGTCTATGATATCAGGTTTCTCATCTGTAAAATCAGGTTTGAGCAAATTATTTCACCCCTAAAACTTAGCCAGGCACTTCTGGAGTCAGACCAACTGGGTGTGGGTCGCAGGTAACATACACGGGCTGTGTGATCTTGCCCATTAATTGATCTCTTGGAACTTCAACTTTCCACAATAAATGGAGGTTGTAGGGATTAAATGAAAGGCAGGAGCTTAGCATTAGGCTTCACATGTGAAAGAGACTTCATTACCATGAGTTATTTCCCTCCCATTCCAGATCTAGTGCTCCTGAGAGCTGTGTTGCACTCAGGTTATGGAAACTGGGGTACATCTGTCTGCCTTGAATAATTAAGAGCACATCTTTCTTGAGTGCACTCTAAGTGGTCAGAACCTCAGTAGCACTAAACATATACCTGTTGACTGACTGGCTCATATGGGGTGTTGTGGAAGGAGCACATAGCACTGGGAGCCAGGAGGCCTGGGTGGGAGCTCTGGCTCCTACCCTAGCTTGCTGAATGGTCTTGACCTCTCTGGGCCTCAGTTTTCTCATCTGTAAAACAAGGGGAATAGATCAGACATTCTGATTCTAATCTTTCACATTAGTATGATATGCTGGGCCTTCCCAAGTCCCTATGCAAATGGCTTGGGTAAAATGCCTGGGCAGTTTCCGTAACTGATTTTGATTTCAGTATCATTCTCTAACATTACTTCCCAACCCACATAAGCAACTCTTTCTAATGCCTTCTTGTCTTGTTCTTCTCGTTGGATAAGAAACTGGGACCAGGAATGATTTAACCTTATAGTCTGTAAAACACAGCCTAAAATTGTAACCACCACCAAAACTGTTCCAGGAAGTAGCAAGCCACTTCAAGCGCTGGAAACAGGGACATGTTTTGAAGGTAGGGAGGTGTACTCTAAGGGGCCCTCCTTTGGCGAATGTGCACTGGCCAGTGCAGGCCATCAGGTAAAGATGCTGATTTGTGTCTCAACCTCACAGAATACTGGCAGTCAAGGTCCAATTTACAAAAGATGGATGAGAATGGATGGAGGAACAAGAAAGGTAGATAGGAAAAACTAAAACTTGCTATTCAGTGGAAATACCGGAGTGCTAAATAGTTAGGACTGCATAAAAGAGGAAGGGGATGGGCAAAAGGAAACAAAGGGGTGACTGAGAACCCCTAAAATGCACATTAACATTCTTTGTGTGGACGACGAACGTGTCGAAATTCAGAACCACTTTGCCCAGTACAAGACTCCGGGCCAGTACATTCGAGTAGAAAGGCAACTTTATTAGAAGCTTAATGTAGCACTGTTCTGATGAAAAGAAGGCCAGAACACCTGGAGTTAAGGCCTCATCACAGAATACCTGCTTCCTGATAGCAGTTTCCATCCAGAGCAAGCAACTCTAAAAGAATTGATTTAAATCATCTTGAACCAGTTTCCTTAGGGGATGACCCACTAGCTAGGGCATTCAAGTGTCTGATATTTGCAACCAGTAGCTAGATGGGCTACTTGAATGGGTCTCTGATGGAAATTTCGTCCTGGAAAAATTTTGTCCTGGAAAATACCTCGGGAGTCGGTATGCCTGGACCCTCAAGATTTCCTCTCTAGCACACCCCCCGTTTGGGCCAGTGAACACAGGCAGAAGAGTGGTTTCAGAAGAGACTGCTTCTTCACACCTAGCAAGGCCAAGAATCAGATGCGTAGCGGCGACAGGGAGACTAAATGGGAAGGAACTGAAGCCTGTTGCTGTTAGACAACTCCAAAGGGAGCGTCCTACAGGTCCTGGGCGGCTTCTGGATGGTTAGCCCCAGGATAAAACTCTTAGCTGAGTAGCTCTTTAAAACTAAAAGAATCGCCTCAAACCGCACCCACCTGTGTTGGATGGAGTAAAGCCTGGCAAGGAGGGGCTGTTGAGGCCGGGGAGCAGCACAGGAGGAATGCCCTGGAGTGCTGGGTATGCTGCAGGGAGGTTCAGCGCCTGGAGAGGGGCGCCGTCAAACATGCCCTGCTGCTGAGCTGCCAGGCCGAGCACCTCGTTAGCCTTTTTAATCCGGTCCAACTCTTGTTGAGCCATCAACTGTCGTACAGTGGCTGGGTCAAAGTACTCTTTCTCCTTGTCCAACTGGCTTCCGATAGTGTCTTTAACTTTGGAGATATGCTGTTGGGAAAAGATATGGTCACGTACAGACAGCCGAGCGCTGTACTTGATGCCACACAAAGTGCACTCTGTTTTGGGTCCCTCATAACTTGTTTGGTTTATACCAAAATGCTTGGCCATGCTTAACTTGGACTTCTTTTCTTTTGCCCGGGCATTCTGGAACCAGACCTGAACAACTCTCTTTGGCAGTCCAATGTCATTGCCCAGGACCTCACACTCTAGCATGGTGGGCGTCCTGTAGTCATTAAAGCATGACTTGAGGACCTTTAGCTGCAGATTGGTCATTTGAGTGCGAAAACGTTTCTGCCCAGGCCTATCCCCGCTATCTCCAGATTTGCCTGTCGACCCGCTTGCACCAGGACTCGGGGAGCAAGGGTCTGCAAGGCTTGAGGTCTCACTGTAGTCCACTGTGCCTTCATTGTCATACTCCTTGCTGTAAAAGCTCGGGGCTGGGCTGACCAGACCCGAAGACAACCGATCTTCATACTCGGACATTGCCATCATGGCGGCTTTGGTCAACCCTTCATTAGGCGCCGAAGATTTGGTTTCAGTTGCTATTCCTGTGGCACTGTCGTTATCTGCATTGCCCTCGTCTCCAGTGGTGGTATCTGTGATTGCCGTGTTGACAGAGGAACAGTCGTCATTGTCCAGCTTAGTTTGGTCAAAGTTTAGATTAACTGAGGACATAGAGGGGCTTTCAAAGTCTTCAATCCCTTCCACTTTGATAGAGGAAGGGCTAAGGAGAGTTCTGGGCGATAACTCCATGGTTTTACTCACAGGTGAGAGGGGAACACCCTGGCCATCGCCACTGCTTGGGGGTAGGTGAGAAAAGCTAGTTCCATCAAAAATATCTCCTTTCATCTGAAGCCCCCCATCACAGTCTAACAGCATTGCAGATAGAGTGAGGTTATAGCCAGCTCTCTTGGCTTCATGCCAGTGGCGAGACCGGATGTGAGCCTCCAGGGCAGTCTTGGCTTTGAAGAGTGCTCTGCAAAAGGGGCACCTCCTGTGGGCCTGAGCTGGACCCACAGCCCGGAACTGTCCTTTCCTTTCCCGAGCTCGGGTATTCTGAAACCAAACTTGCACCACACGTTTCTTCAAGCCCACCTCGTGCGCAATGTGATCCAACATCTTTCGAGTTGGATTGGAGTCCAGTAGATACTTTTGGTAGAGAATTTCGAGCTGCTCTGGTGTAATGGTCGTCCTCAAACGCTTGTCTCTCTGAGGTTCTTCTCCTGTCCCACTGTCATTTTCGCCAGGGCTCGCGCTGGCCTTTTCCTCCAGCTTTCTCTTCAGGGTGTTCATTGTGGAGGTTGGGGTTGACGGAGAAGTGGCTGAGCTTGCTGGAATCTGAGGGATGGCCCCCGAGAGCAGCTGGCTGGCCAGGAGTGGGTTACTGGGGTCAAACAGCATGAAAGGCATATCCAGTGATCTGTCCAAAAACTGCGGGTGGATGAACTGGCTCTGTGCACTCAGAAAGTGAAGCTGCTGATGCTCCTGCCAGTGCTCAAAGGATGGAAATGCCAATTTACACTGGTCACACTGGTAGGGGATTAGCTGAGGAGGTAGGTTTGCCAACTGTTGAGGAGTTGACGTGTGGAGGGGCTTGAGGGGAAGGTGGGAGAGCTGGGAAGGACTGGGGCTTGACTGAGGTAAGGGGCACTGAGGAGGGGCTGCCTGTGGAGGTGGCTGTGGTAATGAAGGGGGAGAAGCCAGCTGGGGGAGCTTTTGTTGGGGTGCATTTGTCTTTTGCTCAGGCTGGTCTTGCTGCTGCAGCTCTTGCTTTGGTTGCCCTTGCTTCTCTTGGGTGTGGTTGGGCTGTGCACTGGGAGGGTCAGCTTGCTTTGGTTTCTCATCACTTGCTTCTGCTTTTGAACTGAAGGCGGCCAGTTCATCAGCCTCTGCCGTAAGCTGCAAGAAGGTGGAGGATGCTGTATTGGCTGACGGAGCTGGGGCAATGTAGGCCTGTGAGGGCATTGGGGTGCTGCAGGAAGAGCTAGTGGGGGTTAGGATTTCCATGGCGTCCATGGAATCCTCATTTTGGCTGTCGTCCTGCCCCTCCTCATCTTCATCCTTGTAACAAAGCTTCTTCTGGTGCTTGATGAGATCAAAGATGCGCTGAAACACCAGGCTGCATTTTTTGCACTGGTAGTTCAAGTTGCTCGTCCGAATGTACCTATCGTTGGTAAGCTCACGCCGCTCTCCATCTTTGCCCTCTCCCTGATTCTCATAATTTTTCCTGGCCTTCTGTCGGGCATTTTGAAACCATACCACTATGACTCGGGTTGGAAGGTTCAATAAATTAGAGAGTTGCTCAAATTCATCGTCCTTGGGGTAAGCATTGGCATCAAAAAAATCCTGCAGGACCCGCAGCTGGTAGTCAGTGAACCTTGTTCTTGAAGACCTCTTGCTTCCCCAGTACTCCTGCTTCTGAGGTTCTGGTGAAGGGGGCCGGGAGTCAATCTTGAGCTCCTCCAGACTGGTGATGGGAGGGTTGCTGAAGTTGTACGGGGAGTCCTTGTTGCGCTGCCGCTCTTTGAAGAGAGTATTTCTGAACCAGTGCTTGATCACTTTCTGGGGCAACCCAGACTTGTCTGCCATCTCTTTGATCTGTTCTTCACTGGGGGAGTTGTTAATATCAAAATATTGCCGCAGGACTCGGAGCTGGTCGTCCGTGATCCTGGTTCGAGGTCTCTTATTTTGCTGCTGGAGCAGGCTGGGGTTGAGCTGATGCTGGTAGAGCTGGGCCAGGTCTGCAGGCAGAGGTTCCACAGGCCCCAGCTGAGGTGGCAGCTGAGCCGGTAAGGTCTGCAGGGGCATTGTCTGCATCATCAGTGGTGAGAAGATGGGCAGCTCCATGGGCATGGAGAGTTGGGTGAGAGGAACAGATGGCTGGGTAGGAGCTGTTGTGGGAGATGTGATGGGAGGGGCCGACGCAGGAAGGGCTGGTGTGGAAGCTGGCTGAGGGGGTGCTGCAGGAAGAGGGGGAGGGGGAGGGGGAGGAGGTGGCGGCTCTGGGGTCTGGGGCCTCAGAGGGTAGAGTTTGTCATAGTGCTCTCTGTACTGTTTGGCAAACCTCTCTAGCTGTTTAAAGGGAAAGTAATTCTGATGAACGTGCTCTTGATGACTCTTCAAAATCAAGATGTTGGAAAACAACTTCCCACAGGAGTCACACTCCAACTTTTCCAGGTGCTCTCCCTGCTCAGTCTTGCCATTCTTCTTCTGCACCTTCTGCTTGTTCTCATTGTACTGAATGACCAGCTCAAAGCCAAAGTTCTCCAGCAGCGCCTTGGTGGCGTTCCCTCTGGCGTCTGAGGCAATGCGAGGAGGGAGCATGGAAGGCTCAGAACTGTTCCCTGGTGCCAACTCCTTCTTCTCTTTGGCCTTCAGGGTATCTGGCAGCGGTTCCTTTGGCCCCGGGGTGCTATCTCCCCCCTCGGCATTGTCCCTCTCTCTCTGGCTTTCCTTCTCCTTTTCTTTGAGGGCTAATTTGTTTTTCTTCTCGGGGTGTTGGCTTGACTGAAGAAGGGCACAGTGACTCTGGGACAGAGAGAGCTGGCTCTGCTGCGGTTGCTGCTGCAGGATCTGTGGGTGGCTCTGCTGTGGGATCTGAGCCTGAGCCTTTAAATCTTCCAGCAGGCCGGGGCCCGTCCCAGTCAGTGTCAGTGCCCCGCTGGTCACTGGCAAGCTCACCTCGGGGTTGAGCTGGAACTCAGCACTGGGGATGTAGAAGGGGAAGAGGAGATGCTGCTGCTGCTGCAACTGCAGCAGGGTCTCAGTGGTCATGGGGAAGTGAGGAAGGAGGGTAGGGTTGAACAGCTGTGACTGGATCAGGGCAGCCTGCTGCTGCAGCTCTTGCTGCAGGTGAGCTTGAACTTGGGCCTGAGCCTGGGCCAAGGTTTGTGCTTGCTGCTGCTGCTGCTGCTGCTGCTGCTGCTGCTGCCTGGAGGCAATCATATCTGCCAGCTTCTTCCGATTGGCTTCTTTGGGCTCTGAAGTAGAAGCGATGTTGGCACTCACGGGATTCCCAAGGGGTGGCATCCCTCCACTTTCAGTGGGCCCATGGCTCAAACTCGGAGCAATACCAGCACTGCTTGGATTGGTGGTGTTAAAGGTGTTACTGCCACTGGTACTCACAGGACTTGGGGTGGAGGAGCTCAGGGAGACACTACTGCTGTTCCCAGTCCCACTGTTACTGCCACTTGCAGCCTCTAGCTTGGCTGCCCGGGCCTTGGTTTGATGCAACACAGACCTCATGTGGATCTCCAAAGTGGAACTCTGGCTGTAGGCCACATTACAGGTGTTACACTTAAAAGGTTTGTTGTCTGGGCTGCTGGTGGGTTCTGCCTGGCCAGTTGCTGATTCTTGTAGAGCTCTTTTTAACTTATGCAGGTGGGAGACAGAATTGTAGTGCACTAATAGGATGTTCTTTTGAGTGAAAGATTCCTTGCAGACAGTACACTTGTAAGGGCGAGAGGGGTCTAGAAATTTTTCCATGGTGAAGTTTGGGCCTTTTCTGAAAGGCAGAGCTCTCTTGGGCTCTGAGCCTGAGTCTTCTTGTACCGACCCAGAGTCACTGCCCATGGGGCTCTGTTTATCTTCCAAGTCACTCTCTTCTTCCTTATCTTCCTCAACTATTATGGTGTGGTCCTCAGCCAGGGTGGGGTCTCCCATTGCCAGGAGGTCCCCATTGACTAGAAGGCCACCATAAAGCTGTTGGATGTCAGCCTCACTCAATTCCAGGTGGCTTGTCTCCAGGTGTTTTTTCAGAGCCTGGAAAGTTCGGAAACTACGCTGACAAAGACAGCACATGGTGGCAGCTCTGATCACGTGGTACTGAGAATGGAGCTGCAACTTTTCAATGGTCTTAAATGCCAGGCTGCACTGATTACAGCGGTATTTGTACACGTGGCGATCTGACACGGGCAGCTGAGGTCTCTTGGTGTGAACTTCACTGAAATGTGTCTGAAGGGCAGCAGAAGTTTTGAAAACCTGATTGCACCCCTTCTTCCAGCAGAGGAAGCCTGAGTCTTCCCTCACAGAGCCTGGGTCAGCAGGAGACGGTTTCAAATCTCCAGTGTGTTCTGTACTCACTGAAGGCAAGATGTTCTTTCCCACATCCTCTGAGGTTTCTGTAAAAAAACATGAAGCCCAAAGATAAAGGTGGCTTTGTTTCAAGGACTGCACCCAGAGTGAGCTGTCTACCTAGTGAGGCCTCACTCTCACTAACACAGAATCTGACAAGGAGGTTTGAAATAACCAACCTGAAGGACACACTCTCTCCACAGATTCCCCAGAATTCCATATTAGAAACAGGGTGTACCAGAACAGAGGTGAAGCAAAGAAAATACAGAAAGTTTCAACTCTTAATCTTATCGTAGATCTCAGTCTTTTCAACAGTGTTTAATTGCTTGATTCAGAATCCTCAATTTCTCAAGAATTGCTTTCAAAGACACCCGATTGAGACTGGGTTCCCCGTCTATGTCTTTTAGGTAACTGAATATTCTTCTAACTACTGGGTCATTTACAACAACTGTCAGGCATTTCTCAGAATCTGACTGTGACTGTCTTCTCTAAACAACAAACATGCAAGTGGCATATATTATTTATCTACAATGAAATCGTCATACCCTGACCATTAACAAGGGAAGAGGTGGGGCAGTGGTGTGACCGAGTGTTTCCCAACTTAAATGCTTAAATATTAGGTACTTTCAAGAGGTGAGAGGGGTGGGAGAGCCTCATAAACAGAGGCCTAATGACCTAAGGAGGTAGGTACATACCACTGTGTGGTGCGACCAACAGCACTTACTGTTTCCAAGTGCAACTCATGCTTCAAAGTAAGGCAATTCTAGAAGACTTCGACAAGAACTTGATGTAGAGGTAATCCTATCACCCCACGTTTCACAAGGCCCTATTAATTAAATCCTCAGAGATGGAGTATTTAACAGCTTAGGATGATGGCTCTACGGACCTACTGACTGAGTCTCTGGTCATTCAATCCTCCCTGTATAGTCTGCGGGGACACGGGGTCTACACCAAAGTTCTGCTAGTTCTCACAGTGATTGTCTGTCTTGAAACCATATGAATAATATACAAATGCATGGCCAAAGCCAGACGATAACGTAGCTCCTTAGCTCCATTCTGCTTAGAAGTACTGTAAAGAATGCTTGGCACTTTCTCTGTAGAAATTTTGGCTCGAGATTTCAGTCTGATTTCTATTCTCCAGGGTCAAGAATAGTGATACTAACCAGGTTGCTTTCCTGCCTCCTCCAAATTGGAATTCCCATCTCGATCTGGAATGGCCACTGGGAGGAACATGCTGCTGGGCATTACCATCTCAGGGGTGGTCACCTGGGGAGCAGGAGACAGAGAGATAGCAGAGTCACATGGAGAAGAAAGCGGCACAAGGTAGGGAAAGTTTAAAAATTATTTAATAAGCAAAATTAGCCTTCACCAGTGTAAAGCCGGAGGTGTCACTTTTCATAGCTCGCTGAAGATTCATGTTTATTAGACAAAGCTCACATCAGTCAAAAGTGTTTCTACGGTTACATTCTGGACATAATTAGCAGTGCACACTTGAAGAATAATCTTATTATTAATATTTTTCCTTTATGCAGAATTTTGACTTTGATCACTGACAATGTTTTGTCATGGGCTGTGAAACTTCGTGTGCAACCAATTAGGTAGATAAGTTGAAAGGCCCACCTTAAGCTGCTGAAAACATAATAAGGGCCCTAATTAAATCATACCTAGTAAAGTACACTGTAATCTTGAAGCAGGGAAGCATTGTAGTACTGTTTTCAAACGTATTCAGGCAAGAAGAGGAGGGGAATAAGAGAAAAGGAAAGGGTAGGAATAAGACGAGAACAAAGAGAAGGCTAAGGACACGCAGGCTCCCTGGCAGATTTTCTAGGAAACAAGCTGAGATCAATAGCAAGCAAGCATTCCCCATGACTCACTTAAGCCAGGTCTTCTCCTGGAGTCCGTGCCTGAAGCATGCAACATCAGGGGGCGCCTCTGGCCAGTGTCCTGGTCACAGATGGCATGCCACAAGATGACAGCCCACCCTGACCACAGCCACTGTTTCCTATACAGCCATTCTGGAATGAGCCTGGATCAAATGAGCTACAACTTCAGGTCAAATCCTCAAGCCATTTCTCCAGTCGTCCCTGCCATCAGGCCAGAAACGTATCCAAGTGAGTTACTAGTCCCTCTCTGTTAATGTGATAACCAGCCCTCAATGCCCAAAGTAAGGAGAACAAGTTCTTAGTTTAAGAAGCTGCATTATCCCTTTGCCTACTATGGGGTGAAAAAGTAGGTGGGGGTGGTATTCCCAAGTGAACAAGAAATCGTCCTCACTTGATAACGGTCTGAAAATGGAGTGATCTATAGAAACAGAAACCACTGCTCCTACTACCCTTTGCTCCCACTACCCTTTCTACCTGGCACCCAGCCCCACATTGGTATTATTTTCCCATCAAACACTTTACTGTGCTATCTTTATTTGCAATTGCAGAGATTTTGGAACTTGATTTCTGTTCAAAATTAGATCACATCTTAAATAAATTACTATTAATTTTTAATGGTTTGGAGATCCTGCCCTTGCTCAGTGTAGCTGCTGACAGGTTCAGTGGAACCCTGCTACAGGCGTAACTGCCTGGAGGAAGCCTAGACAGCTGCCCCATGGACCCCACTAAGGGAATTCCCCACCACATTTGAAGGTGTTGGGTAATTTCCACACTCCAGATGCCTATAGGTGCAGAAACTACGCAACCCGCGCTGTAGAGGAGGTTCTGAGCAATGCCTGGCTTTCCTCAGAGCAGGTGCATGACAGGTGCGTGTGTGACACAGCATCCCTCCTCTTCCCGACATCTGCACCTTCACAGAAAGCTTGGCAGCAGCTGGTTCGGTCTCGTGTTGATGAATCGTTAGGAATGGAGCAGAAATGGCCAAACTCATCCCATCTATTTTCCTTTTAACAGAAAGCATTTCTGACCAGTGTGCCTGGGGAGTCCAGCGGGAATCCAAGAAGTGAAAGGTCACCGATTAATTTATAGTCCTCAGAAGAGGGGGAGCATGAGGTTTGGGGCAAAAGGGGAAAAAACGGGAAGGAAAAAAGACTCCCCCCTCCACCTCCTTTCTCGGTTGTAGCTGCACCATCAGTTCTTTTCTGGGATCTTTAAGGAATTATGAAAAACAAATCAAGAGATATAGGGAAAAAAAAATGGCCTACAGAGTAAAAAAGAATAAAATTATCTAACACCTCAGCTGCACATCATTATAGAAAACTGTGGGCTTTTTATACACATTACAGTAAGGCAGACATCCCCTCTAACAGACTCAGTACGACGGATCAGTAATTGTTTTCATACACTTTAATTAGAAAAACTCAGATGGCTATGAATAATAATGGAAAAGAGAGACTTTTGCACTTGAAAGGTTGAAGTCAATCAAGTGTGAATGACGGCAAAAAAAAAAAAAAAAAAAGAGAGAGAGAGAGGGAAAAAAAAAAAAAAAAAGACACCAATTCATCAGCCCTCTGTTGTCTCGCCACGACTTTAATCATAATTCCTGATTGGGATTCAAGAAGGCAGTAAGCAGCAGTTCTTTGTCTGCCTTCACCTTCCGTCAATTAACTCTCCCCGAAATATAATCATCAACCTCACATGCTCCTCTGCATCTTAATCTGGGCCTCCAAACGTGTAAGTCTTGCCCCATATGTGTTTAAGGAATTACTTTTCTCTACCTGCATCTTCTTAGCTATACTATATACCCACCTTTACTCCCTGAGAAGGAAATAAATGGTTTGCTATATGGAATTGAAAATTGAACACAGGTAAGAAATTCCTCCCAGGAGGCAAAGAAGATCCCTAGAGGAACCTACAAATTCTGGTGGGGTGCATCTATTCATGTCATGTGTCTTAACCAACCAGGTAACAATGGAAGCTGCCTTGCTGTGTGGGCTACTAGAGGGCCCCACACATCAGTTCTGACATCTCAACGTGCCCCCTGCCTGTTTTCATCCCTCCTTCTTCCACCAACCTTGCACACTTTTTTCCTAAAGAGCCATCAATATAATCCTTCTGAGAGAGTTCACTGAAGAAAAGGTGGTGGTGGTTATGTGCCGTCAAGTCGGATCCGACTCATGGCGACCCCTCCTTGGGTTTCCGAGGCAGTATGGCTACGGAAGTAGATTGCCCCATCTTCCTTCTGAGGAGTGGCTGGGGGGTTTGAACTGCCAGCCTTCTGGTTCGCAGTCAAGTGCCTTAGGCACTATGCTACCAGAAGAAAAGGAGAGGTGGCTAAAGGTGAAGGCGACCCTTCAACCCTTGCCTTGGAGTCCCCATTATTTTCCAGTTTTCTCTGCCCACCAAACTGCATGGATCGGCCATGCACAGTCTCTGATAGACACTTGGAAGGCACAAAAAGAAAACCACCCAACTGTGCTGGGCCCAGTTCTTCAAAGGCCTTCTCTTTGGCTAAGAGCTCTGGAGTAGTACACAGATACAGGAGAGGTCCAAACAGGGCCCATCCTAACCAGAGCAAGCCCACATGTGCTCAACCTGAGAGTCCCTCAAATCACTGGATCCTGTCTCCCCACACAAATAATACACATTGTCTGTCTACTCCTGACCTCTAAAGCCAAAGAAAGTTTCAGTTTGGCTAGATGACAGTAGGCCTAAAACTTTTACTACACTGACTCTTCCAATAATCTGTAACCTGTAAACACTGAATACATTACATGGTGTCCTCCTTACTACTGTATGAAGGGTACCTGAGAATATTAAATATTAAAACAGATTTTTCTGGTTCAGCATATTCAATCTGTAAGTTGCAAAAAAGCTGAGTAAAAAGGGCTCTATCAAGATTGGTCATGGTAATGCAAAGAGCAGTTCCGTGACGGTCTTCTAGAACATCTCACGCCTTCCCCTGCCATCCCTTCTGAGACAAGTCAATTCTATCCCTCTCCAGGGCATGCAGAGTTGATAGAAATGTAGGAATTGTGGAGAAAGTCTGGAAACAAACAGTGGCTCTAACCTCTTCCTAATCAACAGATCTCATGTATGACAGGAGAAGGTAGCATTCTGCTCCAACGCAGAAAATCTTCACAAGCAATTCAATTCCCATCAACAACATCAGAAACAGAGGCGCTCTCCACTGATAGAGAAACTCTTCCAACTAAAGCAATTCTCAAAAAACTCAGCTGTTGAGAAGAAAGGGTATCACATGACTCTGCTCACCCTTCATCAGAAGCTTACAATCCAGAATATCCTTTAGCGCTTACAGACTGCTTACAAATGTGAGGAAAGCCGTAGACCCTCAGAGAACACCCCCACATGCAGCACACTGCAGGGGATCACAGGCTCCCCAGTGGGAAATCCATGGACTCATTAATAGCCTTTGTCCAAGAGAGGTGACACAGGCCATTCCTAGTATCTAGTTCCTGCCTCCTCTGTGCTTGGCCCATCGTTTATTTTTTTTAAATCTGTCCTTCATTTGTAATGCATATGTTTATTTTTGAGATCTAGGCATTTGGGAAACAATGATACATATTCCTCATTCAGATTTCCAAAAGGCACACTAGCAGAAAAATGCTCCAGGAAGTCTTGAAGTTTAATCTAGGGTTTCCCTAAATTCATGTAATCAAGGATCCTTCTTTCATCATCATTTTAGATTATGACTTAATGCCTTTCAAGATTCTTAATGTGGATCTGATCCCGTTTATGAGGGGTCTGAGATGTTTATTCCCGCTTGGTGGAAGGCATTATGAGGGACCTCCTCCCTTTCTCCAGGATGTGACTGCAGAATAGCCGTTTAAACAACATCCTGTACAGCCAAGGGGTATGCTTTGCTAGTTCGAATGTTATGGGCCTCTGGGTGCAAATTCGCTGCTCAAGACCAGCCTCAGACAGGCTGGCCCAGGTTAGATCAATGCAACCAGCACGTTCTATGTGGTGAAAGGGAAGAGCTCTTCTTAGGAAAAGTGTTGGATCTGGCTTCTCTGAGACCCTTATCCCTAGGGCCTTGGCAGTGCTCAACGAAGTAGGACTTCTGGTGGAAAGGCCCATGATTCTAAGTGAAACTGGATTTGCCAAGACTCAGACTCTCAAGGAAGCCTCAAATCCTTCATTTCTCAGTGAAAATCAATAGAAGAACCTCAGACAGAGGAAGCAAGAGGGGAGGCCTTAGGCATTCTCCCCTGGCACAGACCTGGCCTACCAGTCGCTCCAGTTTTGCGAATGAGGTTCTTTTGCCATCTCAGAAATGCAGGCACGAAGTTAAATCCTGTTTTCCAGGACTCGGCATTCTACCTAGTCTATCCAAAGCTGCCTTCCACCTGCTCACTGGCTGTGGGTCTCTAGATGGTCACAGGTAATGCTAAGTATTGCTGCACTTCTGCAGCTAACTAACCAGGGCAGCTCTCAGGAGAGCTTCAGGGGTTGGTTTTTTCCCCCTTCTCTTTTCTGCAGATGTGCTAAGCTGGTCTCAGGACTGTGTTGTTGTCTCTCTTGTTATCTTTCTAAAATGTCTTCTGTGGGGTTGTCTATCCAATTGCTTCACTCTTTAAAACCTAGTATCCACAAGTAAGAACTGCAAGGCCATATTAACGTTCATTTGGTCCAGGAACAAACATAGCCCCCAACCACATTTTGAAAACTGGAAATGAGAAAGACCAAAAGAGAAGGTGGGTGAGAGAACAGGAAACCCAGGAACAGTTCACACACACACACAGGCAGAAATGAGAGTGGAGGAGGAGAAAGAATTGGAGAGAAAAGCTTCATTAGACTCTGAGAGGCAAGCAGTGGCAGTATACCAAGGTCACTTCTAATTTAGACCATCTAATTGGCAAACAGGGCTCCAAATGGCTATCATCTCACAGGGCTTGGAATTAATGAAGCCCGATTATTTTCATTCCCTTCCTCTGAGATGGAGACAAAGTGAGATAGCTGGTACCAGGAAGGTTCGACAGCTCCAGGGCCGGCAGCCACCGGAGAGCCCCTGTGCAGGGAGGGGGAGAGCCCGAGGACACACCTGCAGCACAGAGGCAGAGAAGGGACCAGGCATCACAGGAGACAAGCTAGTGCTCTCCAAAGAGAGAGGCAGGAAACTGCAAGGCGCGCAGGGCCAGGGCCAGGAAAGGTGCAAAGGGGACACTGAGAACCGCCGAGGGGAGAAAAGATGAAGGGCTAGAGAAAGGGCATTCGCAGAATAGGTGAGAACCAGTCCCCGTATCCATTTTGAGACCATATTTTCTTAAGTGATCGAGGGACAAAGAAAATTTCCCTACAGTAATGCTCACTTAAACAGACAGTGATCCATCACGATTGAAATAGTGTGGTAGGTGGGCTTTCCCTTTTTCATTTAAGTTCCAGAAACATGTCCCAACTTCCTCTACTTTTTCTCTCCAAACGATGATGAAAATGGGGTCTCAGAGCAGCAGTTTCTACATCACCACCACCTACTTGAAACCTGGAGCTTCTGTCTAAAAAGACCAGATTTAGTTATGTGCAACTGCCATTGGGGGTGGGCTTGCCAGCCAGGCCTCAAGGGGTACTTAAATCTGTTTACAGATTTCTTTCTTTCAACTGACGTGTGTAAAGACACCATTTGGAGCTATTTCCAACAGGCCACGCAGAATGAAGTGCTATGGGTGCAGTTTTCATAGTGGAGGGCCAGCACCACAATTGTCCCCAGTAGAGAATATTTTTCAAGCCCCCTCCTTGGTAAAAGGGGGCCCATGGAAGATATAGATATGAGATGCAGAGTATAAGCAAGCAGCCGTTACCATAGCAACAGACATATTAGCCACTGCAGGTTCCTGAAAGCTGTCTGATAAGGTATTATTAAATGAAGCCTCCTCAAAACGCTTTCCATTTACAACTGAACGGAAAGATAGTGTGCACAAAGTAATCCATTTCCATCTATCGCGGTGGAATTTACTTTGGAGGGACCAAAACCCTAGATCCTGAGACCTGGGACTCAGACTGCAAAGACTGTTTATCAGAGTTTACAGCTTTAGACACTCTGGACACACTCGGCTCCCGTCAGGAATTTTCTATTTGGTGGATTTTGCCAGCTTTTCCTGCTCTGAAGTCAGAGGCTGCAGCTGACTAGGAAGCTGTCACTCTGCTCATTGCCGTTCATCTGGCCACTCGGGGACAAAGCACATACCACTTTCTCCTCCTGCAGGAGGAATGACTGTGGACTGACCATTTTTTAATGATATTGTTTAGAAAATGGAGCTCTGAATTAAGAGGCATCTCCCATCCTGTTGTTTTCAGAGTTCCTGTTCTAGTTGGCCAGGAGCAGAGACAGAATCAGAAAGCCTAACGGATACTTTCTCAGGGCCAATTTTCTAATAAAATCGTAATAAAATACACTCCAGGGGCATGATTTTAACCACAGGTTCATTATAATCACTTAGCTGTAAAATAATTGCAAATTCCATTTTAACACCAAACTTCTCAGGAAGGACACTGCCATCTCTTCTGATTCGTCAGCTGCAGGGACCACGCTCAGGACTCCAGCCCGCAGCAGCGTTCTGGCCTGCCCCTGTGGCATGGCTACATATGCCCCCTAACCTTGGCTGTTCCTCCTTTACCAGTGAATTACAGGAGCTAATTGGAAATGCATCATTTGGTTCACTAGAAACCGTCCTCATGACTTGAAGAACCAATTCAATACCAACAGCCATGGCACTAACTCCATGTCCCTATGTAAAGAGCACACAGTTACCCTCAACCATCCATTTCTATGCAAAGAGTACAACCCTAATATGACTACAGTTTGTTTTCTACAATTTTTAACTCACTCCTGAAGCTACTACCATTCTCTTGTTGCTAGCAAACTGACTTCCTATAACCAACACATTCCTCATAGTTTGTACTCTTTTCAGAAATGTGTGAACAACATCTTCATCATTTGCTGTAGAAAGTTCCTATGCACCCCAAGAGAGAATGTTTCTCCTACATGATGGTGTCAAGGATTCTTCTAGAACAATATTTCTTAACCAATTTCCACGGATGAACTTTAGGATATCCTATGGTCCCTGGCAATTAAAGGACACTTTTTTATGTGCAGAATACTTGATGGAGGTCTGTTAAGAGTGGTTGTCAAACTTTAGTGTACACAGAAGACCTCAGCATGGCTCTAACAGTTTCCATCAGAGTCTCCCAAAAGGCTGAGAATCACTGCCTGAGAAAGTGATGACAGTGACTGGGTGACTCCAGAAATACCTTATGAGCTGGGACCCAAGCAAAATGCAGTAGCATTCTGTCCTTGAAGACTTTGTTGGCAAATCAAGATTTATAATGGTCACCAGACTCACTACTTCAGGTGTGCTTTACTCTGCTGCTATACAAAATACATGCACATAACATGTAATTTATGCTGTACTCCTAGGGGTATATAAATGAAGTGTTTTATTATAAAACTGGTCATACAAATTACTATCAGCCAAAAGTTCCTAGACTAGAGATTTACATTAAACAGAAAAAAATAATCACCTGATATCAAAGAAAAATGTAGTTAGGTACCTCTAATGCATCCTTGCCCATGCTCTTTCACTTCAGGCTACCATGGTTCCTGCAGACCATGTGATAGAAAGTGTGATGAGGCCTAGGAAAATCCCTTTCAAGGCTGATGAGAATGGTGAGGAAACGTAATTCATAGAAACCCACCCATCCACTTACAGAATCTTTCAACAGTGTTCACCAATCTAACAGAAAACACCCATGGAATGTGAATTTATAACCTGCAAGATCTCTGAAATAATATTCATGCTAGAGTTTCCCACTGGCTGGCTAAAGTTGTCTTGATGCATCATCAGTTATATGCTAGTAATATCACCTGCAACAATATTCATTAATTTCACATCATCAAATGGAATAGGAGATGCCTAGAGGTTATATATGCTGTGGCCTGCATCTTATAATGTGGAATTCCACACCAATTATCTGGGAATCTTCCCATGAAAAGGCAATCAGATTAACTTCTTATTACTCTACCATTGAAATAATGCTAAGTTAAGAGGTAAGAATAATTCTTTTTGGTGGTTTTTCCTTTCACAAAACAAAGAAGCAGGCTCTGACAACAGCCTAATAAAAAATAATAGAAAAATATAATAAATCAAAAGTGGGGCATTAGTATCACCTGTGGTATTTTGAAAAGTTTTCACGTTAACATTAGATTTAAGTCATTATGCTGACTTTGTGGGCCATGTTTATAGTGGCCACTAAGAACTGTGCTTTCAAAACCTGCCGATGCAGCAACATCATGTTCAAGACGCAAAGCCCACATTCATGACTTGACATGTTACAGCCAACTGACCATTCTTGGGGGCTTTGCAAACAGAAGTATCCACTTGAGAAACTGATGTTCTAAGGCCATATTCCTGGAGCTGGAAAATGTCAATTCAAATCTCAACTCTGCCATTTGAAATCAGCATCAAGTACACTAATTTTTCTAAGCCTCCGTTTTCTCATCCATTACTGTGAACATGTCAGTCCTCCTTTTTGTTTTCTAAACAGGACTGTTGTAAGGATGAAATGAGACATAACTCACATAAGAGCAACCTAGAACTTGACCTGCTCAGTAAAGTTTGGGAAATATGAATAACAATTTCTACATATAAATGGCTATTCCTCTGTGTCTGGAGGGGAGAGAGAGGAAGGTAAGGGAGGTTGAAAAACACGTATGTAGTCTGCATTTGGGGCCCCATCATGCCCAGCCTAAGGCAATGCAGTAGAACAAAGGTCACAGAACGACACCACTTTTCTGACACTTCCAACTCCACACTGGCTTTCTCTGCTAGCAGCACAGTGTCTTGTCCATGCTATTGCTTTGACCTCTGGGGAAAGAAAAGCCACGGGGCACCGTGCCTGCCGCCTTACCGTCATAATGAGCTTCTCCACGCAGTCAGGTGCCACGCTGTGGAGGTGGGTGAGGTGCAGCTGGAGGTGGATCTTGTTGTTGAGCATGTCCTGGCACAGAGGGCAGCGAAGCATGGGCTGCACTGAGTGCTGCGTCATGGCGTGCACCCGGAGCCGGTTGACGTCAGCGTTGCTGTACTTGCAGTATGGACACTGGTACATCTGTGGGGAACATACCCACCCCTGTGGCTTAATCTTCACTTCCCACCAGCAACTTCGTCTGCCCCGAGCCCACCCATCCAAGAGTTCATTTCCCACCACTGTCGAACACGCTCCCCCCGCAGCAGGGACCCCTGCTAGGCTCACCTGCTCTGGTTTAGTCTCCTCAGATGTTTTTGGTCGCTTTGCAGAGAGGGGAGACCCGGTGCTACCTGGGAAGGAGATGCGTTTGGAGGTTGCAGGAGAATCTGTCAGGTCCTTCTCCGCTTGGCTGGATGAGGCTGGAAGAGAAAGTGGAAGAAGAAATACAGCAGCCAGACCAGGCCAGCTCTCACAGGGTTTGTGTTAGGTGAAAATCAACATTCATTTACAGCACAGGATTTTCTGGAAACACAACCTTCCAAGAAGGATGAGCATCCAGACTGACTTCTCAAGCATGTAGAAAAGAAGCAAGTGTTTTTTCCTCCCCTCATGAATCCTAGCCACTAATTTTAACAACTGAACAACAGGAAAAGAAGATGAAGAAATGGGGTAGAAGGCTCTGGATTGGATTTACATGGTTTTAAGCTGCTCTCATGTCCCCCAATCAAGACACAGTCTGCTGGCTGTGCAGGGCAGTAGGCTGAGTGAGGGTGGCTGCTTCGCCTGCCAACCACTCAGTCACCTGAGTACCAGGTGCCCATTGTTCATTCTTCTTTTTTCATAGGTAAACTACATGTGCACAACTTTATTGTCCTAAGTCTTGGAATCTCAGGGGACATATCATAGGCGACATGAGAATCTGAGAAAGGTTTACATGGATCTCTGTATATGAACATGTGGAAAAATCAACTTTGGGTTTAGCAGTTGCTTTTGGGAAGCAGTTGAGGAGTGGAACCAGGCAGGGCATTAATCCAAGTTATAATGTAGCCAGTGCTACAGACACAAGAGTTTATTCAGAGCGGGTAAAGTTTCCTATCTGCTTGCCCAAACCATCCCTTCCATACCCTTTTCCCTACCCCAAAACCAAAACACTAATTGATGAGGACAGTCACATGGGACTTAAGTAGCAAACAGTGGGTGTGGAAGTGGTTCTCTGAAGTGTGGAAAGGGCTCTGGAAGATTGGGATGTGAACAGCCATGTGAAGGGAACCACAGGGAAGGGGCTCTTCCAGTGTAACACAGGTTCCAGGATGGCCGCCTTTGGCTGTTCCAAACCTGGTCAGTAGCCTCTCACTTGCTTTCAATGTAGGGCTGTTTTTCTTAATTTTGCTAAAAAAAAAATCAATAGGAAAAAAATCCCCCTAAAAATGGCAATAACAAAATACATACCCATAAAATAATCTGATTTAGGATTTAGGACACTGATTTTGAGAGCTTCCTCCTTTTACCCCTGTATAAAGCTGCTTTCTGTCTCACCGTGTGAAATTATCTAGCATGCATTTGCACTGCATGCTTAGCTGTGAAATTTGCTGTGATGTGGACACCAAGATGCTGTCATTATAGACCTATACTTTAATAGACAATTTTAGAAAATTAATTTTACTCACTGAACGCCACAAAATAATTTTGAAAAAAAAAAAAAAAAAAGCCATGCTAGATGCAGGAAATATTCCAGGAAGTTGATGCTCTTCCCAGAATGCACATCTTGTGACCTTTAACCCCAGTATCTTGGTAACCTGGTCTACATAAGTTTGCAGGACATCTATTATTTAAAAAGTACAAGGACAAGCATATTACACACAAACCCCTCCTCCTCCCAACACACATATTCATAACAGTACTTTAATCTGTCTCGAATCGACTTCAAACCCATTTTGCTCTTAATGGGAGTTATTCATTTTCACTTGAAAGGTAATATATGACGGCTGGATATTTAATGTGATGGACTGGCTACCGATTAACTAGGTGCTGTAACATTCTAGACCAGTTCCCCCATGGCCCACTTCCCATCTCCTGGCCCCCTGCCAACCTGATCCTGCAGAACCTCACATCACAGGTTTTAGACACTACAGACAGATGTGCCCTAGCCTGAACACTCCCACAACAGGGCTCTTTAATTAACGTTTCAGGAACTGAAGTTATTCCTGCCCCTCTCCCTGAAAGTTCTCTGTTCTCCATCATTTTCACTTTTGTTCAGTGGCTATCTTCCACAGATTAGCTATTCAAATGCATTCTAACAATGGGGAGAGAAGAGAGGCATCAGGTGACATGTAGATGCTTATTTATCTCAGCCATCCTTTGCCTTCCCTGTTTCCACCCCAGTTGGTGAGCCAAGAGCTCACAGTTAGGAAAAGAGCTGTTATCTGCCCCTCCACCCTCCAGAGGCAAAACAAGACACAGATTCTATTCCAAACACCCGGCCCTGTCTCTTCTTTAGTTAGTCTGACCTGAAACACCACTCGCTTCTCAGGACTGTGACCCCACCTTGCAAACAGCTGTCAATCTGCCTGCCACACCCTCTTCGGAATGACGGTCAATTGTGCAGGTGATGGGTGGAATGAACCGGCATGGAGGCAGAGACCACCAACTCATGGCACTGACTTGTCGCTGAAAGGCAAACAGCAGCCCGGTGCAGCATCTGCTCCTTGTAGGACCGGAGAGCCACCTCTTCCCTCAACCGTGAATTGGGGCAAGGTGGCTAAAGGGAGAATTCTGCTTTCAGAAGCCACTAGTCTTACCCCCTCCATGGAGATGGGACCATCTACGATTTTTTTTTTTTTTTTTTCATTCAAACTCTCAAACTGTGCTGGAATTCTAAAGCTTCCTTTGTGAGCTTGAGCTACAGAATCCTTATAAAGTATT